CCGAGGGAACGGCATGGAGCTGCGTCAGGGGAGGGGCGGGAAAAGGGGCTCGGGAAAGGCGCTGCACCAGGGGGCGGTGGGCGCGGAACGGGCTGCCCAGGGCTGTGGGCACGGCGCGGAGCTGCTGGAGATCAAGGAGCGTTTGTACAACACTCTCACACATATGATCTGATTTTTTGATGGTCCTATGTGGAACCAGGAGTTGGACCTGATGATCCTTATGGGTCCCTTCTAACTTGGGATAATCTGTAATTCTAAGAATAGTCCTTGGTATTTTCAGCCATGAATTTATCTAATTGTTCTTTGAATTATGTTAGCTTTATGAATCCCACGGCATCTTGCAATCAGTTCCACAACTTAATTGTGCACTTCATAGAAAAATGTCTCTTTTGTTTGCCACTTGAGGATTTGATTTTATGCCTTCTAGGCCTTAAATTATGAAAGACACTCATGATTTTATATCTCTGCCATAAACCTATTTTCAACAGGCTAAAAGTTCAAGCACTCATTTCTTGTAAAGGCACAACCCCTGTCAAGTTTCTTCCTTGCGAGTTTCCTAGCACTGCTATACCAAAGCTATTGATAAGGACTGCACATTGTATTCAAAGAGATGTTCCATGGCCTTATGGTCACATACTGTTATTTTCTACTGTCCTTTCTTCTCTTGTCCTTTATTAATACTGCTTATTTGCTTAAATAATGTGTCAGCTTGACTTACTTGCCCTTGGAGAGAGGAAGATGGTGTCTGATGCACAGCTGACTAGATTTCAACCAAATGTTTACAGAGAATTGCGATAATAGATGCTAGAGAAGAGGTACTCTCAACACAAAGTCCAGGGCTACACCAAAGCCAAAGAATTCAAACACAGGCACAGAAGGAGTTTGGTCCTTGCAGGCTGGCTATAACGAAGCTTATTTCAGGAACTTTGCTTGAATATTATGCAAATACACACTTACCAAAGGGATGATGCTGCTGCCTAGCTGAAATTACTGCCATGGTGCTTTCCAAGCTGTTACAATTGCAATGTAAGGAATCCCACAGACATATAGAAGCATCATATCTTTTGTACAGTGTTTTTGAAGCTTGGAAGAATGCTGTCACCAAGAGCAACTATAAACATTTATTTGAAAAACTAATGACTGAACCACAGGTCTCTGGTTAACCCACTGCATCTAGTTTCACTCTTCAACTCCAGTTTTTCATAATGCCTTTGGCCCTGTGCTGTATCTAGAGTCCTTGAGTTTGTGGAACTAGTAATGCAGACTATTTCTTCATGAAATTAGATCCTTCTGGGCTCTTGTCCTTAACTTTTCTGTTTATCTCCTTAAAACTCTTTATGTTCTCCTTGCAATTCTTTCCAGCTAAAGCCTAGCTGCTGAATTTTCCAGTGATTGTAACATCTCCATGTTACATAGTAGATCCCAGAAGCTCCTGGACAGGTAATGTTGTGAATGCTAAAAATTCATGTGGTTTACAGGAAGCCTGAACACACTCATTGGCAAGAACTCCTCAGAAGGCTTAAGAATTCCCAAACTGAAAATGGTTTGTGGCCAGAAGTGAGGGTAGGGATGAGGAGATCGTACACTACAGGCAAGCTGCTGTGTTAAGCTTAATGTCTGTGGTCTTGTCCTAGTTTCAGCTGGGATGGAGTTGATTTTTCTGTCTTAGTGTTTGGTATGACTGTGGAGACCAGAACAGGTCTTGCCACTGGCAAGTTTTGCTTTTGTTTCTCTGTAAGTTCTTGATTGCTTCAAAGCAGCAACCCTCCATCTAATGTGACTGCTAGCCCAGATGCTGGCCACCACTTGCCACCTCTGAGATTAGAGGATCTTCTCTACATAGGCATCCAGTGCAAGTAAGCAGAGGGGGAAGGGAGCATGCAAGAGAAGACTGGAAGTTTTTACTTGTACCCTCACAATCCTTGCACAAGGAAAGAAAAGAGGGGTAGCACCACAGCCTCATCATTTCCGTCTTGCAGCTGTATTTGTACCACTTCTGTTACCACTGCTGAACCTCCACTGATACCACTACCAAGGAGTCAGAACAGATGGACCATGATTGTCTATCATGTCAAGCAGCAAGAGCCAAGATGTGCACTTGATACAAAGCAATTCAGACTTTGTCTGTAAGAATGGAATGGCAGGAATTGGTAACAAGTGAAAAAAATACAAAGAAAAAATAACTATGAAAATGAAAACATTGAGAAAAAGATGAACGCATGCAAAAGAAACCACAGTACAAAAGGGAAATTAAAGGTGAATGGGTTTTACTTGTGGTAAATAAAGGAGGCAATAGCTGGAAGGAAGGGAGAAGCATCAGCTTTGAAGGGTAGCAATACTCATAAAGGGGCTATATCACCTACAGTGATGTCATCATCAGGTCCTGGCTCACCTTCATGTTGTCTTTGAGTGTTCTGCATTTCAGATTCAAAAACCATTAGGCTTGGTGAAGTATAATTTGATGTCAGCTAATCTTGGGCAGGGGTCTTTGTCTTGAACATATTTTCAAAATTTCAAAAGTATTTATCTTGCTGCAGACATCAGGATTTTCAGAATGTCAGTGCTAATGAGCTCCAAAGCACTAAAGGAACCACGTACAATACTAGCCAGAGTTTGATATAATTTGTTTGACAAGCAATAATGATTACAGCGGAGCTGGAAGTCAAACATGGATATGCCAAACAAACAGTAGCTTTTGTCTATACTAGGAGCTGTGTATGTCCAAAAGGTATTCCCTTTGGATAAAAGAGTGAAAACTCTTTTACCTAGATTTTCTAGGTTCGTTCATCCTTAATATATCTATCTAGGCACATGCCATACTCTGAAGATAATACCTTTTTACTGGCCATAACTAAATGGTGCATTTCTGAATCAGAACTGAATCAGATGTTACTGAAAGTGGACATAATGAGAGATTTGAAGAAAAGTATGAGCTCAAAAGTGACTTCTAGGAAAGGTAATGTACTGGAAAATAGACCATGAGGAGAGAATGGAGAAGCTTGCACAGGAAACAAACTGGTTAGAATCATAGAATCCTAGAATGGCCTGGGTTGAAAAGGACCACAATGATCATCCAGTTTCAACCCCCTGCTACTGGCAGAGTTGCCAACTACCAGACCAGGCTGCCCAGAGCCACATCCAGCCTGGCCTTGAATGCCTCCAGGGATGGGACATCCACAACTTCCTTGGGCAACCTGTTACAGTGTGTCACCACCCTCAGTGTAAAGAACTTCTTTCTAATATCTAACCTAACCCCCCCCCTCTCAGTTTAAAACCATTCCCCCTTGTCTTATTACTATCCACCCTCATAAGTGGCCATTCCCTCTCCTGTTTATGTGCTTCCTTCAAGTACTGGAAAGCTACAGTGAGAACTCCCTGGAGCCCTGGAGCCTTCTCCAAGTTAAACAAGCCCAGCTCCCTCAAACTTTCCTTGCAAGAGAGGTGCTCCAGCCCCTTGATCATCTTAGTGGCCCTCGTCTGGACCCACTCCAAGAGCTCCACATCCTTCCTGAACCTGGGGCCCCAGGCCTGGATGCAGTACTGCAGGTGGGGCCTCACAAGAGCTGAGTAGAGGGGGACGACCACATCCCTCTTCCTACTGGCCACCCCTTTTTTAATGCAGCCCAGAACACAGTTGGCCTTCTGGGCTGCAAGTGCACACTGCTGGCTCATGTCCAGCTTCTTGTCCACCAGGACCCCCAAGTCCTTCTCTGCAGGGTTGCTCTCAAGGAGATCTTCCCCCAGTCTGTATAAATACCTGGGATTGCCCTGACCCAAGCACTGCACCCTGCACTTGGCCTTTTTGAACTTCATTAGGTTTTCACGGGCCCACTTCTCCAGCCTGTCCAGGTCCCTCTGGATGTCTTCCCTTCCTTCCAATGTATCAGCTGCATCACTCAGCTTTGTGTCATCCACAGACTTGCTGAGGGTGCACTCCATGCCATTGTCTGTGTCATTGATGAAGATGTTGAAGAGCTCCGGTCCCAAGACCGACGCCTGAGGGACACGGCTTGTGAGCAGCCTCCACCCTGACACCGAACCACTGATCACAATCCTCTGGCTGCACGCAGCCAGCCAATTCCTAATCCATCAAACAGTCCATAATTCAAATCCACACCTCTTCAATTTAAAGAGAAGGATGTGGTGAGGGACCATATCAAAGGCCTTGCAGAAGTCCAGGTAGATCACCCTTTCCCTGTCTACTGAAGCCATCACTCTATCATAGAAGGCCACCAATAAGCAATTTGTTTACACTACAGATCTCTCAATTTCTGCTTTTAGTCTCATGTTAATGGATGGAAGACAATTTAGAGACTGGTTGAAGGAAGTGTTCTTGATTGAAAGCATATTTTATACTTGTGATAGAGTGAATTTTGCTTTAGTCAGGACTTCTAGTGATTATCTATCTAACCTAGTCATAAAATTATTCTAAAATCAGTGGAGATAAATGGCTGAAATGCCCATATGCACCCTGACAGACAGCTTACATTAGACAGTTCAGAAATTTGAAATGTGCCCAATTTATACTGCCATCATGCAAGCCAGTTCTGCCTCTGTAATCTACTTGTATTTCTCTGCTTATTTTCTAATCCATTCCTAATCTTTCCACTTTTCTGTAATTGGCCAGCTCTCCATCTTCACATATTCCAACCTTCCTAAAACAAGAGCATTCTGCTGGGAAGTTCCTGCCTGTGGGAGAGCTATTCTGTAGCACTTTGCTTTGGTGATTAATTTTAAAATTTCATTCAACTACAGATTATATCTGGCAATTTTGAGTGGAACCGTGGTTCAACTATTCATTATCAATGTCTTTTACAGCAATCTTGGAATCTTGGCTTTTCATTTTTTTTTGCTATTGCTTCTTTCCTTACTTATTTTTCCTTTGCTTTCATTATTTATATGACATGTACATATGAAGATCTGCATAATATGATATTCACTTTGTAACTGAACCATTTCATTCTATGACCACTGTGAGGCAAAACAAGACATGCACCAAGCAAAGCAAATCTGTATTTTAATATATTAGTCACTGGAAGGAAGTGCTGCCTTTGGAAATACTGGCTCATTTTGGCAGGAAGCAAATGAGCAGGAATTTCGGTGATTCAGCTTTCAGCCAGGGAGGGACAATTAAGGAGAATGTGCATTAGGAAGAAACTAGAAAAGAAAAAGAGAATATGAGGAATATGGAAGAAAAAGCAGCTCTAATACACGTAATATGTTATTTTCAGAGTAAATGTAGTATTTCCCTGTTACGACATGTCCAACTCATCTTTGCCGTCAGGAGATTTAAGATGTAGGCCTTCGTTTCAGGCAAGACTTGAAGTTAGCCTCTGGCATCTTCATTTACACTTCTAAATAATGACCACTTTTTCAAAGGTGATGAGACATTTGCAGATCTCATTGCCTGCGCGGGGATAATGAATGGCTTAGGCCATGAATTGCAAATGTGCAGCACTGAGCAGCTCGCTTCAGACAAAGCATTCGAGACTTTAACTTTAGGCTCCTAGTGTCAAAAACTTAAGGCTCAAAATGCAGATGTAAGAAAAAACTAATGGACAGTGAAAATGCTGGCTTAATTAGATGGCTATAATTAAACTCGTGCTCACCCTTATGCGGGTACTCTTAAATGCGTGTAAGAATGGCTCATTGAGCTTAAATTGAATAGAAGCCAACATAAAATAAACTGAAATAAAATACACATAAACTGGAGCAAATGTCCATACTAGGTTTTAGCATGGGTTTAATTTAATTAATAAAGATTAAAACACTACTATTTCTTCTTTGGATGGACCTTCAAAAGGTAAGATTTAGTGTGGATCATTTGTTAACTTTGATGACTTTTTTCACTTTATAATGAAAGTTTGGAACGCTTGTATAAATAGGAAAATTCTCAGTGCAGTTGTACATTGATAGCATTGATAATAAGCCACTGTGGGAACAAAAATACTAAGTAATTCACTGCAATTCTGAAAGATCATTTTGAAATACTTGCAAATGAGCTATTCATCCACCTCCATCCTACTGGAGATTCATGGAGAATGAACTTACCTTGAATATCATTGACTTTTGAGGAGAGACTTAACAGTAATGCAGATCATGTAGAGGGCCAAGACCTCAGCTAGCTTCACTCACTATCTCTCTGTTGAAATGAAGATTATCTACAGCTGTGCAGTATTTTTTTTTCATCATAAAATGTACAAACTAAAAGCATCATTTTCAAAATATTCTTTAAGGTTCCCATTTTTATTCTTTCTTTAAATAATATTCTGAAAACTAGTCAAAATAATTAATGTGTTCCAATCATCTAATTTAGGTATTTATTTTGTGCAGAGGTGAATTCACAATAACTTTAAATTGATTATAAGGAATGCTGCCAATCGTTACTGAACCTCAATTTAATAGAATGTTTTGAAAATGAATACCAATCACAATCCAGGGTTTTTGATCTAGAATTGCACCAAATATATGAAATATATGGAATATTTTTCAAATAAATGCATGAAACACGGTAAGTGTATTCAGTGTATATAAGATCATACATCCACAAATAACACGAGCAAACGTCTGGCAGGTTTTACGTCGAGAAAGGATCTCAGACGAGTCACACAAGCCGACGCCAGGCGTTTTAACTCGTTTCCTGGCTCTGTCACGTCCGTGAGCGCGCTCCCAGCTCTGCACATCCCCGTGCCGTGCTGCAGTGGGGGCAGAGGTCCCTTAGCAGGAGCAATTTGGGGGTAAGCAGATCATCCTTCCAGGCTTTTGAAGTCCATGCCTAACTCAAAGCACAAAAGAGAAATTCAAAATGCTAACAACCAACATCTGCATAATAATTGAGGGCTTACAAGCTTCACTGAATCAGAGAACAAGACTCTTTCGTACCTCAGGCTCCTGAAGATCACCCCTCTGCCCCATGGAAGTGCCAGGGCCGAGTTGGCACGAGATCCGCATCTACACTTCTTAAAACAAGCACTGCCGGCAGAGAGGAGGGCAAGGTTCATGTGGACGAAGAAAACAAACTAGAGGAGCCTGACTAAGACATGTCGAGTGACAGTGAAAAGCTGCTCTAAGCATCCATTTAATAATGCCGAATCCCTATGACATAAAAAGCTGATCCAGCTTGAATTCCCTTACTCTACTTCATTCAAAGCATTTTGAAGGGCAGCTTGCTCTCCATGGGCTTTATGCTGGATTGCCTGTCACAGCCTCTGCAGTCCAGAATAAAATATAAACCCAATATAAACACTGTGTTATATCCCGTGGCTAATTAAACGAAAAATCAATTCTACTGCCTGGCACTTTGGCAACGCACGTCTGGAATAAAGGAAAGTGGAAGTATAGACTGGAGTGTATCAGGAAAAGAATTCTTAAATTGACATGAGTGGTCAGTGCTGAAACAGGCTGCCCAGGGAGGTGGTGGAGTCACTGGAGGTGTTCAAGAAACATTTAGACGTTGTACTGAGGGACATGGTGTAGTGGTGGTAGGTGGCTGGTTGGACTGAGCAGTGCTGGAGGTCTTTTCCAACCTTGGTGATGCTATGGTTCTATGATTCAATAACATGTGGCATCAAAGATAAGGTCTTTAAATAATTCTTAGCAGACTTCAAACATAGTCTGTGTTGAGACAAGGGAGTGAAATTCACATTTGATTTAACAGTCTCAGTACTTTAAATAGTACTGAGCCTCAGGAAATGCAGTGTGACCAACATTACAGAATGACATGGTCTGTGATGCATGAGAGCCATGTTCTTGAGCAGTGTATTTCTTACGCTGGAATTGTATTCAAAAAGTATTACTAGACTGATTTGTTATCTACTAATTTTGCACCGTCGGTAACATACATTTTCAGATTAAAACCACACCGGTTGGTCGTGTATGGGAAAGTGCTGCAGAGCATTCTTTTGTTTTATAAATTGAAATTATCAGTTGAAGGATATGCTGCAGGACTGTATTTTTGACAGAAAGCAATAGGAAAAAAAAATAGGAGAATGTTCCTGCATGCATTTTACCATCGGTAAAGAGAAGGGGGGAAGAAAATGAAAGACAAACAAAAGCAAACTAAAAATCAAAACAAAGGAAAAAAATACAAGGAAATAAATTGTTTGCCTTTTGGAGAATTGTCAAGGTCAGCAGAGACCTCTGGTGAAGATCTCATCCAGGCACATCAGCCCACAGCCCGCAGCCCACATGGCCCAGCACAGCTCGCACTGCGGCCACCCCCCACCCCATACTGTCCTGGCAGCAGCTCTGCCCCACCGAGCCGCCCGGCCCTCAGCACCAACCCAACATTGGTGTCCTGTTGACTCCATCTGGGCTGAAACCAGGGCTGCACTGCAGTGCCAACTCAAGCTATAGCAAATATGTTTATGGATTTTGATACATTGACTAAACACAGTCCTATAAACAGCAATATGCAGTTGAAGCATTATTTGATGGTTTTCCAGTGGGATGTTGATAGAGTTGAAGTAAAAAATTTGACCATGTCTGTCTACCAAACTTTCATAAGCCCTCTCTTACCAAAGAGAAATATTGCTCACTTCAGAGCCATGCCTTATTTGTGTCATTTGGCAGTGAGTACATTAGTGAAAAATTATTTTGAAGGATGAAGTATAGGAAGAGTAAAATTTTATCAAAAATCCCCCCTGAGCACCTTGAGAAATCGCTGAATTGCAGCAACTGTCATCAAACCAGACTACTGTATTAGTTTCACAGAAACAAGGTCAAATATCTCATAAGCTTTTTATGTTTTGTTGCTCTTTTTTTTAATACATTTTAATAAAAAAACATTAAAAAATCAAATAAGTTTTGTTACTTATATATATATTAACTATATTATACGCTTATTGAGAGCTGCTCTGAAAGTAATGTCTCGTATTTTATGACACGAACCTAACATTTTAGACTAAGAGTCTATTATTGATTGTCAAGACTGCAGTGACCACCAGTACAGCATTTATTAATAGCAGGACAATGATTATATTGACATAGTTCATAAGTGCTATGTGCAGCATACAGAGATTACTCCCAGAACGTGGAAACAAACATTAAACAGCATCTGGTGAAACATCTAAGAGTGCTTTCTGTATGACAAAGCATGTTTCTTGGTGCATTTTTATGTTCACTATTGCTTGAGGGATTTTTTTTTTTGATGTATTGAAGTCTTTTGCTAAAACAGATATCTTTTTTCTTTTTTTCCTTTTTTCCTCCAAACATTATTGTCAACAAATGCTATTGAAATAGAATGCATTAAAAAAAAAATCTTTTCTTCCCTCTTGCACCTAGTCACTCACCATTTTGAAAGAGCGTTTACTGAGGCTATGAACAAAATGGAAAACGAACATGCAATAATCATAACCAGTGGAATACTCTTTACCTCAGGCTCTGTCCTTGCAGGGGCTTCCTCCTGGCCATGGGTCCTGGCGGCCAATGGACTTTAAACTCTGCACTCCTTTCTCTGAAAATGCTTCATTGCTTTTCAGTTCTAGAATATCTTCTTCCAGCTGTTGCACCAGTAAGGCACTGGGAAATAAATGCTACATTTTACTGTTGTGGTTGCCCTCTTCTCTTTTCCTGTCAGTCTGTAGAATAGAATGATGGCCAGCTCCAGAGTTCACCTGGTCTGGTGGGCTGTCTGTTAAGGGCCAGAAGAGGTGGGGTAGGGAGAGAGTGCAAGAATGGGCCAAACACTGAGGATTCCCTCCCTGATGCAGTCTTCCCTTCTCGCCTAGCCGTTGTCTTCCAGGCTTTCCAAGACCAAGGGGATCGTCTTGGTTTTTGTGCAGAACAGGATCTTTGCCTTCTCCTCATGTCTTCCACTCCTTCATTGCTTTGAATGGTGAGCTCTGTAATATTTGTAAACCCTTCTCAGTGAGCTCATCTTTATATTCAGTACTGCGGTACAAGTTTCCAAGTTGGCACCCACAACTTTGCTGGAAAAGGAACTCCACAGAGTAATTATGAGTCATCTGAAAAAAGTACCTTTTTGGTTATTTAAAAAATTTTTGCTCTACAGCTTCATGTACTTCTCTTTCATTCTTAGATTATGAAAACTAAGACATAATAACTTACAATCTTCTTTGTACTATCACAGTTTTATAAACCTTTATCGTACTCCCTCTCAACCATCTGGTTTTTCAGACTGAAGAGTCTTAGCTTATTTAGTCTCTCTTCATAATGAAGAGAAGCCGTTCCATATTTCTGCTCATCTTAGTTGCCCTTCTTTGTATCATTCTGTATCCTTTCAGAGATGGCAGGACTACAAGCACAGATCTGTGGAGGCAAAATGGACTTGTATTCAGCAGTGGTGTTTTCTATTTTGCTTTCTTTCCCTTCCAGAGAAATTCCTAACATCTCATTTCCTTTTTTGACAGCAACTGCATCAGCAATTTTTTTAAAGTACACATTGTGATTCTTATATACGTATAGAAGAGCAACTGTTTTTTTTAATAACTGAGACACAATTCTTACAAATCCCTTGCTTTTGTCTTTAATGAAAGTGCTTTCAGGAATTTTGCCAGTGCTTGTCTGGGAACAGCTCAAAACAAGGAACCTGATGACTGCTGGATACCACCTGAAATTGAGCTGCAAATGTATGTGGACTTGCATGGTCACACAGGGTCTCCCAGAAATGCGCTAAAGATATTTAAGAAACAAAGTGACTGAAGCAGAGCACTAGCTAATACAGCCTCTCAAGAGCAGAGGAAAAGATTGCAAGAAAGAGTGATCATTTTTAGGGGTGTTGGACAGTAAAAGACTGTCCTTGCTGTCTAGGTAGAAGAGCATGAGTATGTTAGAGAAAAATCCCCAGCAGCATAAGACTTAATATCCAGGATTTTCGGGTAAATCACCATGACTCAAAGCTCTATGTGATCATGTGTACAGATAACATTTTAGTAGTTAGCAGCACTGTTTGATACTAGGCAGGAATTCTTTATGAAATAAAACATTAATGCAATAGTTCATCAATTTATACTTTTGTTTCCCATTCTTAAGAATTCTGTAAAGAAATTCTAGTGAATAAATAGAATGAAGATTACTAGATTTTTTCTTCTCTGTTTTGGTGTAGACATTCAATGTATTTTTAGAATAATGATTGTTAGAAACTAAGAAGATCTACAGAAAATTAAGTAATTGAGTCCATACACGTTAGTCAAACTGTTTTAATCCATTTCTTCATTTTATTCCTCTGTTAAAGAGAGGCAATATTTGCTTACATAACTAGGAGTGCTGAGAGCGATAATTAATGCATATAAGCAGCAGTATGATTAAAGTGAAGAGCTATGTACTTCCAAAGGATTATTAATTTTATTATCATCATTAGTACTGCACTGAGCTATTGTAAATTGCTGAAAGAGCCAATTACTGTGGATTTTCTTGAGATGACTTCGTAAGGTATTAAAAGGAGGATGTTACACTGCAGAAATCTACAATGAAGTTGTCAAACTGAGATTACATTCTGTGCTGCAAAATGGTATCATCCATACCAGAAGCAAAAGTAATTTGTAAATGCTGATTAACACAAAAACATGCTCATCTATCTTTTAACTTATACAGTGGCTCCTCCCCTGCTTGCTGAAAATCTCTATTAATGATTTTGAGTCATAAGCCAGAAGTGTAATTTCAGGAAAAAGGCCATGGCCAATGACCTTGGCCAATAGCCAATAAACAACTGGATTTCTGAAGTTTAATGAGGGCATACTGACCAACTGAGCAGCTGAATCTGACAGCGTGAAAGCTCTCACCACTGGGAATGCTTATGCCAGCTCCTGCAGCCCAGAGGGCGGTGAGCTGTGGCTATCCCATGGCTGTGACCAGGCACTCGTGCTAGAGAGGGGGGGAACTGCAACACAGCTGGATAAGAGATGTGTGGTCCTAAGGCTTCCAGCTATGGCTTCTTATCCCTCGCTTTGTAGCATATGTCCCTCAGGTAAAGCAGTCTGCTGGCACGACTGAGCTCTGAAATGAGCTGCGGAACAAATCTGATTAAAAACGGCACCAGCAACTATTGTTTGGGAGAGTGTATTTTAAAAAAAATAGATCATTTATAAAGATGTTTTGGAATATGGCTAAATCTCGAGACTGTCTCCATGAAGATTTAAAATAGTTTTGTCAAAACCTACTTTAAATGGCTATTTGGATTAATATTCTTGAGTTTCCCGTGAGCACAAGCCAAATTATACCGTGAAGAAAAATTCACTTATTTCCACTGGCAGTAAGTAATAATTTCTTATACATAATTTCTGCCTCTTATTTGAGTAGCTACCCAGACATTCCAATTTAGTTTCTTGATGAGTTGAGAATAAAAGATTTCCCTATTCTAAACTGAGATATTAATTACAGTATAAAGACTGTCTATGAAGAAATACTGTTATTCTTCATCCTTTACCAATGCTGAGAGAAAGTAATTAGGAGTCTAATCAAACCCCATGCAGGGTTCGTAGGGAAGGTTAAACCACCTCTGACCTTGCTGCCACTTCACTTTTCTGGGTACTGGAAGGAGTGCTGATTTAATTGAAACAATCCAGGAACCTGACAAGACACTCTTCCTGTGATAGCAATCTCTGAATTATTGGAAAATACCATCAAGGGAGACCGCGGGGTTTGTGGCAGCTGACAAAGTTGTCCTACAAAGCTTCCAGCATAGCCACGCCATGCAGAAAGGTAGCATGGACTCATTCAGTTGGTGATTTTTAGAAAGGGCTCAGCCAAGCAAAGATTGTTCTTTTTTTCATGGCTTTCATTATCGGTCAGCTTTGCTGGGACATGAAGCGTACCTCAATGGTGCTGTATTTCAATGTCTTGATGACATTGTTGAGTTACTGACCAACAGCATCACATTAAAACTCTTCTGCAGCAACAGGATGAATGTAATTAATGTTGGGTGATCATCACAACATGTCTATTCACTCATTTCAGGCCAGACTGGACATCTTGGAATTCAGACTGGATCTACATTAAGATTTCTTTATTGTGAGGGTGGGCAAACACTAGAATGGGCTTCCTATTGAGGCGGCTGATGCTCAAAAGGCATTTGGCCAACATCCTCATAAATACGCTTTAACTTTTGGGTAATGCTGAAGTTTGAAAAGACTTGGTGATCTTTGTAGGTCACTGCCAAATGAACAATCCTACTCTGCTCATTTTGTCATTTTCTTCTGCCTTTCTTCTCCCTTTGAGGGATTCGTCCTCGGAAACCTCTAACCCTAAACCCCTACTTGAAGACATTTTGAGGAAGCAAACACCATCCCCACTGCTCTGTGAACCACCCTGCCCTTGCAGCATGTGGCAGAGAGGCCCCACCTTCACGGCCAAGTCTGTCAGCCCACCTGCAACCTCAAAGCCGCCAGAACCGCGCCCTAAGGGAAGGGGCTGCCAACTGGGCCACCCTACTGGACGCAGGGTTGGAAACGATGGTGCGATGAAGCCTCCCTTGGCCCATTGGAGCCAGCCAGAGCAGCGGGAAGCCCCAGGGCCCAGCGCAGCCCAGCGCCCGGCCACGGGTGGGCGCTGCCCTGTGGGCGGCAGCCCCCGGCAGCCCCTCGCGCCTCCACCGTGGGTCTCCCGCGGGGCCCCCGCAGCGCCCCCAACAGCCGCCTCCAAGCGCGGAAGGCGGAGCTCGGCCCGCGCGACGCGTTTCAAACGGGCGAACCGTCGGGCGCGGAGGGAGGGCGGGCCGGAGCGCAGTCCCCGCCTGGGAGTTTAAAGCGCCATTTTGTGCCGGGCGGCGGATATCGATCGTCGCTCCCTGTCGGGCGAGCGGCGGGGCGCTCGGCGCCCGTCCTCTGCCCTTCTCCGCGCCTCTTTCCCCCGTCCCTCCGCTCCCATGACCCGCAGCAGGAAGCAGGCGGCGCTGGAGAGAGGAGCCGGCAAGATGAACCCAGAAGCGGGGAGCGCCGCGGAGGGGGCCCGGGCGGCGGCGGCGGCGGCGGGGGCAGCCGGGAACGGAACGGCGCCCGGCGCCTGGGGGCTGGAGGGGGATTCGGAGAAAGTTGTATACTCGCGTTCGCAGGTCTCCTACGCCGGCACCAAGGCGCTGGGCGACGCCCTCAAGCTCTTCATGCCCAAGTCCACCGAGTTCATGAGCTCCGACTCGGAGCTGTGGAACTTCCTTTGCAGCCTCAAGCACGAGTTCTCCCCGGTCATCCTCCGCAGCAAGGACGTCTACGGCTACGCCTCCTGCCGCGCCGTCGTCCCCGACCCGCCGCCGCCCTCGGCCGAGCGGCCCCGCCACCGGCCCGGCAAACGACGCCTCCCGCCCGCCAAGCGCCGGGCCGCGGTCACGGGCGGCTCCGCCAAACGGCCCCGGCGGCGGCGGCGGCGCCGCAGGAGGGCGCAGGGCTGGCGGCACCGAGCGGCACCGGCGGCCGATGGCACCCACGGCGAGGAGCGGCTGGAGGCGGCGGCGGGGCCGCCGGGCGAGGACGAGGCTGAGGCCGAGGACAGCGAGCGGGGCGGCCCGGCCGAGCAGGCGGCCTGGAGGCAGCCGTTCGGCGGCAAGTCGCTGGAGGAGATCTGGAAGGCGGCCACCCCTCGCCTCACCACCTTCCCCACCATCCGGGTGCGCGGCGGCGTCTGCAACTGGCGCAGCCTGGAGGCGGCGCGGCGCCGGGCGCAGCGGATCCTCGGCGTGGACCTGTCGCCCGTGGTGCGGGTGCGCCGCCTGCCCGTGGCGCCGTCCTGAGGCGGCGGGAGGGGAGGGAAGGCCGGCGCGGACAAAGAGACCAATATCAGTCACCTGTTTACATTGCTTTTGTCTGGATCATGTTCTTCTGCTGCACTTTACGGCTCGCCAGAATCGGGGCCGGGGCGCCGGGCCCCGGGCGGGCGAGGGGCCGGCTGCGGGTACCGCGCGTGGGGACCAAGTTCCGCTTCCACTTCTCCCATCGGGCTACCTCACTGGTCCAGAAGTCCACCCAAGAAGTTGTTTTCCAAAGGAACTTAACTTTCATGCTTGTATAATAAAGCACCATCCGATTCTCGTTTCCCCCCCCCCCCCCCTCTCCCCCGCCCTTTTCTGATGGATTATGTATGCTTTGTGGTGTTGCACTAGTATGTGCTCAGGGTATTTTGAATCCCAAGCATTCCCAAGTTTCAGTTCACTCTGACCGAGGATGCGTTAAGAATGGAGGTTCAGGACTTGTGGCTGTTCTTGATGGTGCAAAAACTTTTTTTTTTTTTTTTTTTTTAATTTTCATGGGCTTAGTGATATATACAGATGTATTGCTCAGTATAATTGTTACACTTTTGTATCTAAAGTCATTTTTAAGGTTTTCTAGTTGAACTAAGTATTTGTTTCTATTGAGCACCTAAAGATAGAATCATGCTGATATTTTATAAACATGTTTACTTTAGGGAAGCTCATTTGGTCAACCTAAGTGAACTTAATAAAAGTTAAAGAAAAGTGATGTTTCAGTTCAATGAAACTGGACTGCACAGAGATGGGTTCCTTGCTGGAGTCTGCCGTGTTTGTGCTTAACGGAGGCTCTGTGGTATCCCCAGTAAACAAGCTTAGAGCTGGTGAAGAGTGTAACTATTCAAATGGAAGCATAGGTGTCTGAAGGTGAACTGTGGTACATGTAGTGTTGGTGTTAATGGCAAAAAAAGAAAGAAAAAAAAAAAAGACTCAGTACCTGGTTACTTCTTAACAAAATAGCACTGGTGTCAACCCTGGGGCTGTTAGATGACTGATGGTAGATAACCATATCGTTGTAATTACTTGCACATAATTATTTTTATAAATCTCTCCTGGGCTTCATAGTGGACTGTGGTGTAAAACTCTAATGTGGTTTAACCAGTTGAACAGAAAAATTCCATCTTGCTATTCTGTGTGGTGGGCAGTCCCTCTTTAATCTTGGTTGTTTTTTGTTTCTGTTTTTTTTTTGTTGTTGTTGTTGTCGTTTGTTTGTTTGTTTTTTTGAAGGGCTTTTCCTGGTTCTTGCTCATTGCTGTTGGTGTGTAAGAAGCAAAGGTGTAGATTTTCTTCTGCTTGATGTTTTTTTGAGTTCAGGAGAAGTGTTTGGTGAGAGACAGTTTATGTTCTTTGTATCCTAGCGAGCAAGGAACTTCTCAGTTTCCATAGTGGAATGAATGACTTCACAATTTGTTTATGGGATGGTTTAGCAACTTAAAATTTCTTTCCTGATTGCTGTTGACTCCTTGTTGCCTGCTGTTGGTGGGGGTAGTAAGACAGCTAGACGCGTAGAGGTAGTTTGTAAAAACTTTTAAGTACTAACCTGAAGCAACCAAATTCTTCTAAAACTTATTTATATTGTGTAGTTTTTACTTAGCAAAGCTGTGAAGATCTTATTCTTCCAAAGTAACCATCTGTTCTATAACCATTAAGTTTTGAAATCGTTTATATAACATTAGACTGCCTGCTGATGGCTGCAGTAGTGCCACGTCAGATTTCAGAAGGGAACTAGGAAATGGAAGTTCAAGGGTGCATATTGTTATGCTGTTTCTCTGGCTATAATGCTTGCTTAAATTTAGAGGCAAAGTTGTGTTGATTTAAAACTCAGTATGACAAACTGCCTTGTGACCAAATGCCAAGTATTTCAGTTTTGACATTCACTTCAGAAGTGCTAGCTAAGAAGATTGTTACTGATACTTGAAGTGTCTAGGTGACTTCAATGAAGTTATGTTCCTACTGCTATATTGAATTATTTTGTTCAGTGTTCTTTTGAGAAATCTGGGTAGAGATAATGAAATTTAAGCAGCTGTCTTGTGCAGATTTTTCGCATAATTTGTAAACAGTTGTAGGACAGACTAGATTAGATGTCTGGGGAAGAGTGAAGGCTGCCAGAGGTAGGATATGGGAGATACTGTACTTTGTGCTGCCTTGTTTTGATGCTTATTCTGAAATGTTGTTTGTGGGTATGAAATACTGTGAAATAACATCACTTCTGTCGAGTGAGTCTTGTGTAAGCTGCGTGCCTACACAAGGTGTGCTTCTTTTTCTCTTGGTTCTGCTTTGAATTCTTGGTTCTGAGGCAGCAGCTCTTTGGGGGGTATGCTGTGTTTTGCAGAAACTCTCTGAGAAAGTTGGATCAAAGATCTGATAGCTGCATTCACAAATTCTTAACTGAGTTATTTCTGTCTGCGAAGTCAGTTAAGGGGAGAAATCTATAGTTAAGTTTTCTGGTAAATTAATGTACTAAGATAGCAGAGGATCAGTGAAAGGAGGGACTGTGAAAGCTAGCAGCTTACAGGAGAGCTAACAGCTGAATTTCATGGTCATGTTTACAACAGTTTTGGCAATCAAGGGTAGGATTACCTGTGGTGTAGCTCTTCTCTTCTTTTCCCCTCTCAAAACTGCAGTTCCTACCTACTGCTTTGTCTTGGTGCTCATCTGAGGAAGCTAATCTGAAGTCTGTTCTGTTTTAGGTTTGTGCAGACTGATAATTGTTGGCTCTTTTTGGACCTCTTAGCTGCAGGCAAGAACTGAGGAAGTCAGACAAGAGTGTGCAAGACTTCTGCAATATTGAATTAGACAATTTTAAAATATAGAAGCATTGGGTTTTACTCTACCTGATGAACTAATGACATTATTGTACTTTACAGATGCTGTTGGAGAAAGTATAATAGATTAGGTGGATTTCTGGTCTGACTCAACGTGGCTGTTTTCATACAAATCCATTATTATTTGAGAAGTGTGGTTTGCCTGATTTAATTCCGTGGCTTTCAGTATCCTCTCATAGATTCATAGAATGTCCTGGGTTGAAACAGACCACAGTGACCATCCAGTTTCAACCCCCTGCTATGTGCAGGGTCACCAACCACCAGACCAGGCTGCCCAGAGCCACATCCAGCCTGGCCTTGAAGGCCTCCAGGGATGGGGCATCCACAACCTCTTTGGGCAGCCTGTTCCAGTGTATCACCACTCTCTGTGTGAAAAACTTTGTCCTAACATCTAACCTAAACCTCCCCGTCTCAGTTTAAAACCATTCCCCCTTGTTCTATCACTATCCAACCTCACAAATGGCCATTCTCCCTCCTGTTTATGTGCCTCCTTCAAGTATCAGAAAGCTACAATGAGATCTCCCTGGAGCCTTCTCCAAGCTAAATAAGTTCCATTCCCTCAACCTTTCTTCATAGGCAATGTGTTCCTGCCTTCTGATCGTCTTAGTGGCCCTCCTCTGGATCTGTTCCAAGAGCTCTGCATCTTTCTTGTGCTGGGAAGCATGAAATGCATGCCCAGAATAAATTCAGCTTACAATGCCTAGTCTAGTTGAGTCAGCATGGCTGAGTTCATATTAAACAGGAGTCCTGTGGTAGCCTCTATTTGCAGACTTTTGCAGTAGCCAGTTCCTTCCCATATGAGCTCCCTTCATATAATGTCTTTGTGTACTCAAAGTTGTACTCCTTCCTTTACCAAAATGTGAGTTTTTATCCAGTCACTCCAAGGCTATTGAATTTCAGATTGCCACAATGCCGAAATGAGTTTTGTTACAGCCCCAGATGTCAAGGAGGGAGTTGAGATGTCCATTGTGTCTCAATATTGCTGAGAGTATACTCTGAATCCAAGAGGCAGTGAGTGCCTTCCTCTGTCATCATGCAAGTACATTTTTCAGGACTGAGGTGTGTGAAAGGAGAAAGCAGTGCCTTACAGACATTTTTCTCTGATGTTGCATAGAAGTTGTCACGTTTGAAGGATCACAGTGTATCGCTGTCCTTGAAGCCGTCAATTGCCAACCTGTAAACAACAAACTCTATGTACCCATGCCTCATGCAGAGCATCACTGTGTATACTTGCCAATGGCAAGGCTTATGGTACTTGGATTTTGCTCTGAATGTGTAGGGGATATTGTGTGTGTCTGTATTTTCCTTTATTCTTGCCTATCAGATGCAAGGAGCAAAGTAGTTTGTAGATGACAGATTTCAGTTAACAAGGCAGAGTCCTGGACTCCTTGTGCTACCGAGAAGAGTTAATTTATGCTAATTTAAAGTTGATCAGTAGTGTAGTCTGAGTTCAAAGTTTGCATGTACAGGAAACCAGCACTGAAAACATCTATTTCTTTTTAGCCTGGTAGACTGGCACATCAAGAAAAATTTCTTAATTGTATGCATAAATGAAACCTGTTGACTATAACTTGAACAAAATGCTTTGACTTCAGATGCTCAGTTTATGATGACATTTACAAATACGGGAAATCTGGAATCAAATTACTGTATTTACAGTAGATTTTAGACATTACCCATGAAACAAGGCAATCAATATTAAGTAACTTAGCAGGTAAGGAATCCTGGAACTCATGAGACCCAAATTCTGATACTCTCTTTGTCTCATTTGGAGGAGGATCTCTGAAGTGCCAAGTCGTGAAGACTGAGTTATAGCAGCTTAGACCGTTTCACTCTGTATAATAAAAAATCACTAAACTTGAAGAAATTCCTGGATATTAGTGAGTTTGTTTGTTTGGATGGTTCTTGTTGTTCCTTACACCTTGGTTCTTCATCTGGTACTTATTTTAGGTGAATGTTACTGCCCTAACAGTAAAGACTGAGACAGCTGCATTCCATAGTGTTCTGTGGTAGGACATCTGCTTAGGCAGTGACTCCAAATGTGTACTGCTCATGATGCTTTATTCCCAAGCTTTCAAGAGTCATCCAATGGGTATGATGGTAATGGGACAGTGCAGGACAATGTTGAAATATTTCTCATCCCTGATCAAAGTAAAGCCATTTTTCCACATGTAAAAATAAAGTGTATTTCCTCAAAGTTAATGTCTAAATATCTTTGTAGGGCTATAAAAAAAGTCTCTTAGTTATTTTGTTGTTGCTACTTTAAGTAAAAAGGTCTGAAAATATTTCTGGGGTTGTTAACAAGAATGGAATCTCATTTATCCACTGATTTAATCATCCTGGAATCCTGGAATTCATGAGACCTTGATGTTATAGGACAAGGGAGAAACAATCCTTCATTCCTGTAGATCACTTTTGCTCTGACGGTGTGCAAATGAGCCGAACAGGGGTTCCCTGTGCTCTCCGCTGGGATTTAAGAAAGCTCCCTTTCCAATTCTTTCAGGCTCCTTATTTGAGATTGTAGAAAATGAGATGTGATAGTCTCAAAGTTAGAACATTGCCAACAGGAAAGCCCTATCCCTTCAACTGCTCTGATCAGTCTGTTGCTCTTTTCTCCCCATTGCTACTTCAGGAATGCACGCTAACTGCGATGTCCTCTTTTCTTAGACTGGTTTGGAGGAGAGAGCTGAACAGTCTAGAGGTCGTGGGGAGGGAAATGCATGCTCTTCAAGACAGCTTTTATTTTGGGGCGGTTGCGTGTTGACTGCTTCTTCCCACCTTCGTTCTTTACTGCGCTGTCAGGCACTTCTAATTACCTGTTGCTTTGCTCATGCAACTGAGCAGCCTGTTTGCCAGCTTACATTGCCCTTGCCAAACTATTTGCTGTAGAATGACCTATGAAGATGGAGAGGACACGCTTAGAACTATTTGCATTTGTAATAGATATTATGCTAGCCTCACATTTGGGCAGCATTGGACTGTAGTCAGAATACCAGATGCTGTTTCCAAGAGGATGGTATTTCCTGGATGAGAGCTAAGAAACAGAACTGAAAGTACCTGATGTGATGATTCTTTGTGATTGAGTATGCATGAATCAAGATGCCTTTTCAGAGACTTTTAGGGAAAGAAAGAAAGTTTCTTTCCATCTATCCGCCCATCCATGTGCTTAAACATTAAAATGAAGGTGCTATCTTATTCTAGGTTTTTTCTTTTCCAGGGGAGCAGTTGCAATAACAACCACCTGCTTTGTTCATCCCAGGGTTGTTAAAGCCATCTGTAGCTGAAATTGTCCCAGGGCTCCATAAGGTAACTGGTGAATACTGAGCATGTACTTTTGAATTAGCTGTGCAGTATTAGGTTGTGTGGGTCGGCGGCACAGCACGTTGTCCCAGCCCACTCGGTGGACTAGGGTGAAGTTACCCTTTTAATTCTCTGTGTAGTAACTAGGAGCAATTACTTGCGAGGTTCAAACAAATCACAGATGTACTTTAAAAAGCAAAATTACAGTGGATAGCAGTGAGGCAAAACTTGCAACAATATTACCCTCATAGAAACTGGGCAGATTTACAAAAGATAGCAACTTGGCAGAACTGATTGAGAATTCAGTGGAATTCCAATGGTCAATGGCTTTGCAAAACTGTTATGATATTCCAAACTTGTAAGGATACTGCCCCTATGTGCCAAAAGTGAAGTCAGAGAGAAAGAAAGATGTGAAAAGAGAAAAAGGAAAGATTGGATCCAGCCAAAAGATAAGTCAGAGACTGCGAGAGAGATGAGAAAAGGAGAAAAAGAAGAGGAAAGATGCCATCACCTTTGGATCCAGCTATGGTCTCTGCTCACAGCTGTAGACCTCCAGCGGCAGGTGAATGTGCAGTCCTTCATGTTTGTGTCTTTTATAGTCTTGCTCACACATTCTCAGTCTGTTCTAAGACCTTTTAGGAGACTGGTAGAGCTTCTGAGCTTTCCCACTCCCTCACTGTCAGTCCCTCAAAGGTGCTCACTGGCCTTGCTGGGTAACTGTAACACCTCAGGGGCTCCCAGATGACTGCAGCATTTCCTTTTCTTGCCCTTTGAGACATTAGCTCAGTCTTCTACACGTGTCTCATACCCTCTAAGGCTATGTGCCTATTCAACTGCTGTGATGCACGTGTGTTCTTGAAGGAGAGCATAAAGAGTGGGCTAGGAGATGGACTGAGTGGCTCTTGTCCTTCACACTACCCAAGCTCCAACACAGGAGTTCTAAACATTAGTGATTTCCAAATTATGCAGAGCTTATCTGTGTACAGCAAATACTACATTTCATAGAATTTATATATAATAATTTCTGATAGCTTGTGGTTTGTTCTCACAAAGCAGTTCTCTTTAAGAAGCTTTTATTCTAGTTTTTATTTGTCCGATACCATCATGTTTAAAATACACCACACATCTGCAAGCTATACAGGATCAGCAAAAATGTTTCAAGGCCACAGTGAGTCTACCTACAAACAACCTTGAGTACTTCTAATGGTTATGCTATTCAGAAGACACTTTCTAGTAAGATCTCTGTGGATTTCTACCTTATGCAGAGTCCACTAATCAGTTGTGGCGTAATCTCCACTTAGTGCCTGCAGTCTTGGGAGGTGGTGAGGGGAACTGAGCTCTGCTTTTTCAGATATCTGATTTTTCTTTTTCCAGTAATAGTTTCAGAGAAGAAGCAACCGCAGACAGAAGAACCACTGCTTTAGATGGAAGACTGGGAAGTGCCATTGCTGCTGCTGTTGACTGGCCTTCAGCAAGAGGGTCAATGAACTTGGACACAATTTGCCTTCCACTTAACTACTTTTTCCAGAAAGAAACATAGCACCTCTTCCTGTGAAGGCACAGAAATAGCGGCCTTTGGTGTAGCTGTAAATGTCAGGTGTGATTTTTTCGTAAAAATTCCCAGTATTTTGTACCTTAGCTTATACTGTGGTTAGACAGCGTTTCTTTTTATTCCTCTAAGAAACCCTAAGGTTAAATCTTTAAAATGCTGCCCACACTCTTTTTTCTTTGCAAAGATGCATCCATTGCTCAGGAAGTTGTGCTTGTAGAACACAATAATTTAGGCTGAAAGGGACTGACAGTGGTTACCTGTCAACAGCATCCTCCATAAGCAAGCACAGATAAAAGGTGTCTTGAAAAGTGGTCCTTCAAACACATCCTAAGTACTCTACTTATAAAGACAGAAGAAATAAGGAAATAAGTAATCACAAACAAGAGTGCAAGGAAAAAATCTTGGGCTGAAACCCACAATGAATGAACAAATAAGGTTTCAGTCTTCTATGCTACAGAAGCTGTACATTGTGGCAGAAGTGTAATTTGGAGCTTTTTATTGTCTTGGATGATTAAATTAATGCTCCTGAACAGAAATGTCCCAATACTTCTAGATTCTAGATAAATGGGAAAGGCTAGAAGAAAAAGTGGAGGAAATTTTGAACAAGTTCTGCTTTTTGAAATCATTCCATCTACTTCATTGCCTTTGCTTCAAATTCCAGCCTTTCAGCCTTTGTAATCTGACAAAATTCCCTAGTGCAATGAGTTGTGCCTCAGAGAATATACCCTAGCTGCTCTTAAAGCACATGATATTTGAATACTGATTAGATCTGTCAAATGTGCTCATTTATTAGCAAGAAATAATGGTCCTTTATGTAACAACTATGCATAAATTACTTTGATCTGCATATAAATTTCACCTCATTGTCCAGTATCTAATGAAAGCTATTTCATCTAGCTTTCCACTAGACCAGGTGTCTTAAATAATCCCCTGATGTTTGTATTCTTCTGAATTGGCTCAGCCATTTTGTCATTATCCATTTCCTCACCTCCAGCTTCCTTTTCCATTTTTTCCAAAGCATGGAAGAGTCTTCCGGAATGCTTTCTATTAAAAAAAAAAAGTTGCAGTCATGTTGATCATGTCCCATTTGGAACCATTTGAATGAAACAAAACCTCAAGGCTTTTGGTGAGCTGCCTGCAATTATCTTCAAAAATAAAAGTTTAACTTAGTGAAAAAAATCCTGTTTAGAAAAAAGGAAAATATAAAGCAGACTCTTTCTCCCCCTCCCCCCCCCGCCATGATATTTCTGGTCATTTTAATCAAAACTTTTTTTTTTCAAAAAATATTTCATTAAATATTTGGAAAATTTGTAATTTGAGAGAAGTATAAAAGGTAACAGGAAAGTGGAAGCTGTTTAGCTATTTCTGAGCACTGAGGACTCTTATTTTCAGTGATTTTCTCCATTGCTTTCTTGAATTAAATACCTAACCTAGGATTTTGTGGGTACCTACCTACATAAATCACTGGTCAGGTGAGCTGGTCAGAGGAGGACTGGCTGGGAAAGAGGGTCTTTGTATTAGGCACACCTCTGACATACATGGTAGGATTTAGATCACCTTGTCCTACCTTTTCATGTTTGACATCCCCCTTCTTTCAAGTCGCTCTTTCTCCAAATGAAATCTGTCTGAAAAGCTGGTACTGTACTGCACTGCACACTACATAGGATTTTCTCTGGGGCGCTGGGTGTAAAAAACCCAGCAGTTCAGAATTGCAGCTCTCCCTCTTGCCTCATTAGAATGCTGCATAATATCAGGAACACTAGACAAGGAAATAATATATCGTGTCAGCAATGTTGCTAATTAATGTGTAAATCACTTTGCTCACTTTTCTCCATCACAAGATCTGCTAAAAAAAAATAATCAAAAGATTTAAAAATTATATATATGCCTGCAACTTTTGTGAGTCACTAAATTTCATGCTTTTCAAGATTTTCTTTACCTCCGAGAACAGAATCTCATTTTAATTTTGAATGATAGACAAGTTTTCTCAGTCTAGGAATGGGGACAGTATGAAAAACATCAAATACCATGATGCTGGCAATAAAATCCCAAAGAGTTGGCAGTCTTAGGTCAGAGAAGACAAGGCTTGGGAGGGAGCCAGAGCCTGCCTGTGAACAGCAGCAGCAGGCTGGAGACAGCTGTCTGGAATCTGTCTGGGCAGCAGGCACCCCAGGAGATGAGAGAGTCATGCAGGGAAGCAGCTTTTTGCTGCTATGGGAGCCATAACATTAGAGCTTGTTTCCACTTACAGAGGTTTCCTGTTAGAACTACAACTAGCAAACCCTGCCAATGAAGACGAAAGTTAGACAGCTTCCCAGAATTGAGCTACATGCACAGAAAGGAGT